GCCACTGAAGCTGATGGGAGTGGAGCGTCTCGGACGGCCCTAGTGCCCGTGTTTATGGCTGACACTATTTTGTCGGGGATATCAGCCTGTGAGGAGAGAGTTGGCCTCGGAGCAAGTTCGACGCGTTCTGCTGAAGGAGGTGCGTCGTCCAATGTCGGGGGGGCTCATGTGGAAGCAGACGGGTTGGTTTCCGACATCGCCCCAGAAGACGTTAATGAATTTTTGGGTTGCCACACCCATGTGTAAGTGAGGACGGATGGGTCTGACCATCGCATAGTAATCCCAGGGGATTACAACTTGCTGCTAAATAGTGAGCAGGTTGCATTGACCCTTGCTCCTTTGTGCGCCGCTCCTGAGAACGAGACGCTCGGGACGATGAACGATGCAGAACTATCTCGGAAGGTCGCTGACATAGCCCTACAGGTAGGTTCCTTTTTCTTATTTGCGTGTCGTAGGAGTGATACGGGAATGGCGTGTTTAACTTTGCTTTTTCTTTTCAGACCCTCCTCCTGGAGGTGGAGAGAGGTCGTCGTGAAAGAAGAGGACGGGCCTCTATAAGAAAATGTCGATGAAGTACTAGCAGTAACGTGCTAAGCACCGGGCGATGTCCGACCTCTACCATCAGGATCCTGAGTTCCAGGTGTTCTACGAGGGGCTTAAGCAGTGGGAGGCCCAATTGGAGAGTAGGGTTGCGGAGCTAGAGGAGAGGGACGAGGAGCTCGTGAGGGCTATCGCTCGTAACAGCGAGCTGGAGGCCCTTCTCAAGGCGAGGAAGGATGAACTTGAACTGAGTCAAGGGGTGACGGCGGAGAACGCCGACCTGCAGTTGAAGGTAGCCGGCTTGAACGCCGAATTGAGTGCCAAGACAGTGGAGATTGACGGACTCAAGGGCGAGTTAAATGCTAGTGCTGATAAGTTGGCCGCCGCCATTTCCGAGACGGTCTCATTGGAAGACGCCCTCCGCATATCCAGATCGGAACTCACCGGGGAAAGGGAAGCCTCTGGTCGTCAGGTTGCTGAATTCGAAAGGCGTATCGGGGAGCTAGGGACGGAGCTAACCGCATTGCGAAGACAAGTGGCTCCGCCGAGGGTAGAGGAAACAGACCGCCGTTCTATGCCCTCCACATCCCGTCCTCCAATTGGTCAGGGCGCGCCTCGTTGCTTGTACGAGATGTGGGTCTATGCGGAGGCTCGGCTTAATGTATATAGAGCTTTTCATGCCGATGGCAGGGTGACGGAGGCGGAGGTTCAGGCGGTGCATGCTGAAGCACGTACAACTCGCGAGTCATGTGGGTATAACCCTAATACCCCTGTTGGGAAGGGTGTTACCTCTAATGACGTGAACCGCCTTGACTCGGATTTGTGGTACGAGGACGCCTACTCTTCTGAAGACGATGAGTAGTTCTAGTTTGTACATTTTGTTTAAGAATTTTTGGATGTGGGCTGCACTGGAGCCTATCCGAAGGGACGGATGTAAATAATGTTTTTGTTCTAATATATAAACTTCATTTTTGTCGCTTTATCTGTTCGTCGTTTTCCCTTTTGATTTAGTGCACGACACTTAGTCTCCGCATGGAGGTTGTTTTGACTATTGTTAAAAGATATATTTCGTTGTTTTGAACGAGGTTGAACTGACGTCGATGGCCTTGGCCATTAGGGTGTTGCTTTGACTGTCGTCGAAGTAGTATTCATCATGGTTCGAACGAGGTCGAACTGATGTCGATGGCCTTAGCCATTAGGATGTTGCTTCGACTGTCGTCGAATTAGTATCCGTCGTGGTTCGAATGAGGTCAAACTAATGTCGATGGCCTTAGCCATTAGGATGTTGCTCCGACTATCGTCGAAGTAGTATCTGTCGTGGTTCGAACGAGGTCGAACTGATGTCGATGGCCTTAGCCATTAGGATGTTGCTTCGATTATCGTCGAAGTAGTATTTGTCGTGGTTCGAACGAGGTCGAACTGATGTTGATGGCCTTAGCCATTAGGATGTTGCTTCGACTGTCGTCGAAGTAATATCTGTCGTGCACAAACTGATTGCATTTTATATAATGGAGGTGTTCATACAATGGCGAATCTTGTTCATATAATGGAGATTTCTGTTTGTACAATGGAGATTGACTGGTGTAGTCTCTTCATTACTTTGTCCTAGAGGTTGTGTCGATGGGCCGAGGTGATGAACATCGCTCCTATTCACAGGGTGTCCCCTTCGCCGCTTCGTTAAAAACCTCCCCGAGAAAACCCGATTGGGACAAAACTCGGGTGAGGGAAAAAGAGTACGACTTAGGTGACGCCTTTCAGAAGTGGAAGTACTTGAGATGGGTGACGTTCTAGTTGTTTTGGAGCAGTTTTCCTTCCATTGTTTCTAGTTGGAGTGCTCCTTTGTTTGCGCTGCTATGATTTTATACGGTCCGTCCTAGTTGGTTGCCAACTTTCCCTCATTTGGGTCTTTTGATGCCAATGTTTTGGCTTTGAGGACGTAGTTGCCAACTTTGAGTGATCTTACCGTGGCTTTTTTGTTATAATATCTCTCTACTTACTGCTTCTGGGCTATCATTCTTATGTGGGCTCTGTCTCTCCGTTCTTCGACCTCATCTAGGTCTTGCAACCTACTCTCGTCGTTATCTGCTCCGCTTATATGGGAGTATCTCAGACTGGGTTCCCCAACCTCGACGGGTATGACTGCGTTGGTCCCGTAGACCAGTGAGTATGGCATTTCTCCCGTGCTGGACTTTGGCGTAGTTCGGTATGCCCATAATACTTCAGGTAGTAATTCGGGCCATAGACCTTTGGCTTCTTCGAGCTTCTTTTTTAATATGTTCAATATCACTTTGTTGGAGGACTCAGCTTGGCCGTTGGCAGCGGGATGATATGGTGCAGAGAGTATCCGCTTGATATGCCATTTTTTGAAAAACTCAGTCGTTTTCTTTCCGACGAACTGGGGTCCGTTATCGCACCTGATTTCTTTGGGGATGCCGAAGCGGCATATAATATTTTTCCATATAAAGGCGATGACCTCCTGTTCGCGTATTTGGGCGTATGCACCTGCCTCCACCCACTTAGAGAAATAGTCAGTTAAAACCAAAAGAAAACGTACCTTTCCCCGTCCTACTGGAAGGGGGCCGACTATGTCCATCCCCCATTTTATGAAAGGCCATGGCGAAGTGACGGAATGGAGGAATTCTCCCGCTTGATGTATCATGGGGGTGTATTTTGGCACTGCTCGCATCTTCGGACATAGTCTGCTGCTTCTTTTTTCATAGTAGGCCAATAGTAGCCAGCGCGGATGAGGCATCGAACATGGGCGCGGTTCCCTGTGTGGGCTCCGCAGTGACTCTCGTGCACTTCCTCTAGTACTTGCCTTGTTTGGTGCGGTCCGATACATTTGGCTAGGGGGCCGCCAAATGTTCTCTTGTAGAGGTCATGATTTACCAGGCTGTATCGAGCAGCCTGCACTCGGAGTTTCTTGGCTTCTTTTTTGTCTTGCGGGAGTGTTCCGTCCTATAAATAGGACACAAGGCAGTTACGCCATTCCCAGGTTAAATTCAGAGAGAGTACCTCGACGTGGTCTATGCCTGAATGAAAGAGGGTGACCATATTTTCCTTGTTGATATTCTTGGCGGCCACAGCTAATTTAGCGAGGCCATCTGCTTCAATATTTTGTGCCCTGGAGATCTGATCGAAGCGGCATTCATCGAACTCTGGCAGTAATTTATGGATCTCCGGCTGATACTTCTGCAGTCTCTACTCTTTGATTTGGAAAGTCCCGATGACTTGATTTACGACGAGTTGAGAATCGCAATGGAGGACGAGTCGTCGGGCGCCATATTTGAGGGCTAACTTCAGACCTGCAATCACAGCCTCATACTTGGCCTCGTTGTTAGTCATCTCGGGGCATCGTATGGACTGGCAAATTATTTTGCCCGTAGGGACTTTGAGGACGAGTCCCAGTACCGATCCCGAGGCGTTCGAAGCACTGTCGGTGTAGAGAGTCCAGAGGTCGGTACGTGCGGAGGCACGAACCTCTTCTTGCTCTACCTCTGGCAATATTTCTGCGCTGAAGTCGGCAACGAAATCAGCGAGCACCTGCGACTTAATGGCAGTTCGCGGGTGGTAAGTTATGTCGTGCTCACTGAGCTCTATTGCCCATTTGGTGAGTCTGCCTGAGAGCTCAGGTTTATGTAGAATGCCTCTTAGGGGGAAGGTTGTTATTACTTTTATGGGGTGACATTGAAAATATGGTCTAAGCTTGTGTGAAGCTATGACTAGTGCCAGAGTGAGTTATTTCAAGGTGAGGGTACCTCGTCTCGGCATCTATTAAGGTCTTGCTAATATAGTAGATAGGGGATTGCGTACCTTTGTTTTCGCGGACTAGGACTGCGCTGACAGCTACCTCAGATACGGCTAAATATACGAGCAGACATTCACCTGGATCAGCTTTGACGAGTAGCGGTGGTGATGATAGGTATGCTTTTAGTTTCCTCAGGGCGTCGATGCATTCATCGTTCCACTGCAGCCCATGATCTTTCCTTAGTACGTTGAAGAATTTGTGACATCCGTCCGAGGACTGTGAAATGAACCTCGACAAGGCGGCTATTCGCCCCGTTAGCTTCTGCACCTGTTTCTTGCTGGTCAGTACCTCAGGTATTGTGTCGATGGCTTTGATTTGATCCAGGTTGACTTCGATTCCTCGTTGTGATACAAGGAATCCTAGGAATTTTCCTGAGGCCACGCCGAAAGCGCATTTTTCCGGATTCAACTTCATCCCGTACTTCCTCAATATCTGGAAGGCTTATTTCAAATGATTAATGTGGTCCTCTTTCTTTGCTGACTTTACCAGCATATCATCAATATAGACCTCCATAGTCTTGTCGAGCTGTTCCTTGAACATTTTGGTGACCAACCTCTGGTAAGTGGCCCCTGCGTTCTTGAGTCCGAACGGCATCACCTTATAGCAATAAGTCCCTTGATGAGTGATGAAAGTCATCTTTTCCTAATCCTCTTCAGCCATTAGAATTTAGCTGTAACCGGAGTAGGAATCCAAAAAGCTCAGCAGTTTGTGCCCCGCTGTCGCATCGATCAGCTGGTCGATATGGGGGAGTGAGAAGGAATCTTTTGGGCATGCCTTATTTAGATCAATGAAGTCCACACACATTCGCCATTTCCCGTTCTTCTTTTTGACCATGACCACATTGGCGACCCATTGGGGGTATTTTGATTCTCTGATGGAACCGTTGGCGAGCAATTTGTCCACTTCCTCGCTGACCGCTTCATTGATAGCAGCATTGAATTTTCTCCTCATCTGCCGTCCGGCGGATAGAGTGGGTCGACGTTTAGCCTGTGAGTGGCAATGTCCTTTGGGATCCCCGGCATATCTGAATGGGAAAAGGCAAATAGGTCGGCGTTGTTAGTTAAAAATTCATGATACTTACCTGGCTTTGAAAGGTTGTGCCAGATATAAGCCTTTTTGTGTTGTCTGTGTCGTCCAATTGGATCGGGTCGAGGTTCTCGATAGTTGCCTTACAGGCTTCTATGATATTTGGGTCTCTGATGACCTCTGCAGGTGGGTCAGGTTTAGTTCCCGACATGGCTGATTGCTATGCCTTCGCGCTTGCTCCTTTTAGCTGTTTGGTATGCGTGCAATCTTGGGCGATTCGATAGCATTCTTGGGCGGTGCGTGGTGCGCCTCGGATGCTGAATATTCCCCATGGGGTGGGAAATTTGATCACTTGGTAGAAGCTTGAGGGGACGGCTCGCATGGCGTGTATCCATGGGCGTCCTATTATGGCATTATAGGTTGTTTCCTGGTCCATGACGTGGAATGTGGTTTCCAGCGTGACTCCCCCTGCTAGGACTGGCAGCGGTATTTCACCGGATGTCAGCTCTACTGCATTGTTAAAACCCGTTAGTGTTATGCAATGCGATATTATTTTATCCTCGAGCTTCATTTGCATGAGAACTCTCGGGTGGATAATACACGTGCTGCTTCCATCGTCTACCATTATTCTTTTTACATCTGTATCAGCGATGCGTAGCGTTATAACCAAAGCATCATAATGAGGGAAAGACAAACCGTTGGTATCTGACTTTTCGAAGGTGATACTGTCTTCGAAGTCATCATACCGTTCGTGGGCGACCGTCCGTTTGAGCTTATGCGTGGTGGTGAATTTCACATAGTTGATTACTGAGTTGTCGCCTCCACCGATAATCATCTGTATGGTACGTGCTGGCGATGGTGGCTTTGGAGGTCCTTGAGAGGAGTCACGTCCTCTTGCGAAATTGGCCCTCCCTTTATCGCTGAGCAATTCTTTCAGGTACCCCTGATTCAACATCCTGACCACCTCCTGCCGTGGGCATATGCAGTTTTCGGTCTTGTTTCCTCTTTCCTGATGGAATCCACAGAGGACATTTGATCTTCTCGCGCTTGGGTCCGATTTCATTTTTCGTGGCCATTTCACCTTCGTGCCCAACTTCTCTAGTGCGTACACTATCTCTGAAGGGGAAACACAAAAGCTATGAGCAGATAACAATGGAGGCATACCTCTTTCGTTTCGAAAGGGTGCGGTGTGTTGTAGCACGGCATCTGGATGCCTTGGAGGAGGTGGGTTAGATGCTCTGACATAGGGCTGATGTCTTTCTCGATTGAAATGCGTGGGTTGATCCCTTCGCCCATCGTTGCGTCGATACCTTCTTGCCTCGGTCTGAACGAATGTTAGCCGCTGTGTTGGGCCATTAAGATCGTCCTCGTCCGCTCTTACCTCGGCGCAGTAGGCGTTGTGAATCTCCTCCCACGTGGTGGGGGGATACTTCATGAGTCTGTTGAGCAATTTCTTGGTTGCCTTTGATCCGTTCCTATTTAACCCATTTTGGAAGGCTACGACCGCCATTCCTTCTGACACATTTGGCAGTCCCATCCTTACTCTGTTGGATCGGGCCAGGAAGTCTCGAAGTCCCTCGCCCGCCGTTTGCTTGATGGCGAAGATATAGTTGACCCTAGCTTCAGCCTTTTTCGCTCCTGAATGAGCGATAGCGAATTTGTCCGCCATTTCCTCAAATGTCGATATCGATCGTGCTGGTAGCTGGGAATACCATGTTAACGCTCCTCCTATCAAAGTCTCACCGAACTTTTTTAGCAACACGGATGGCACTTGTTCTTTGGACAGGTCGTTGCCCTTCACTGCGGTGACGTAATGGATCAGATGATCCTCTGGATCTGCGGTTCCGTCGTATATTCTCAAATATGGCGGCATTTTGAAGGTTTTCGTGATGGGGTGAGGAGCAGCTCCCTCGCTGTTTGGCTGTTCGACAAATCGACCAACATCGCATTTTGGTAGAAGTTTAGGAGCGCCAGGTATTTTATCGACCCTTTCTTGGTGCTCTTTCATCTGATCACGAAGTATTTTTGTTCTCGTTTTCCATTTATTCCATCTTCTTTAGGATGGTAGTGAGTGCATCGTCACTTGCATCGATGACAGCGCGGGTGTTGCCCGTTCGTGCAACGCCTGGCTCGTCGATGGTGGCTGCGATTTCTGCAGTCGGTAAATCTTCGACATTTCCTTGAGGGGATTTTTCGAGCATGTTGTTCAGAGCACTCGTCAACCATTCCTCTAGCAACTTTTTGATTACTGGCGGCATTTCCCTCGCCGTGGGCGTTGAAGCTCCTCTTTCACGCAAGACCGTCAGATCCTCGTGTGGAGAGGGTGAGATTTCCCCTCCGGTGTAGCTCTGGGTGTTGTATTCTCGGTGTCTTCCCTACTGGCTTCATTGAGGGAGCTTAAAAGGTTGTTTGAGACATCTGCTATCATCTTCAACCTCGCTTCTTTCTCCGCCATTGTTAGCTTCTATGAGGTATGAAGAACAGTGATCGTTGATTTCGGTATCCTAGATGAGAACTATGATTTCGGCTAACAAAATCCCCACAGACGGCGCCAAATTATTTGACTCAAAAGATTTGTAACTCTTTCTAAGCAAATCAATCAAAAGATGAAGGGGTAAATCGTAGTCGAAGATAGTAATTTCTAGGATCGTTACAGCGAAAAAATTATATATATATATATATATATATATATATATATAGAGAGAGAGAGAGAGAGAGAGAGAGAGAAGAAAGTCTTTTTGTATATCTTCTGATCTCCCCTATTACAAGGCCTTAATCCCTCTTATATACTAAGGGGTTTTCGCCAATCGTAGGGATGACGACTTAAGGAATATCTACTATGACAAATCTAGCGACGACGCGAGGACGTTTTCCCTTCCACCTCTGGATCATACCCTTGTACCGACCTGTGGATTTGCGACTGCCTGTCGTGCTAGCTGTAGGCCGTGGTTGATTAAATTCAGACCCATACATATATGTCACCAAGTAAGAAAAGATTTCCAAATATTTGCGCTTTGTTGTACGAAATCATAATTTGTTGTTGGGTATTATTTTGATGCAGACGATTAGCAAACACTAAAAGAGCACTATTGTTTATTGTTCTTTTCTTCTTTGGTTATTTAAAATTTGATTTATCTTTTCTTAATTTCAAATCCGTCTCCTAACGAGTACTTAATTTACTTTTTAAAACGTAGCAGACATTACAGAATCTTTCAGTTAAAACTTAATGATTTTCAGGTGATTTATTAAGCACTGCTATTTTTCCCCAATAAGCCAATGAAATGAAATGATAACACGTAGAAATGAATAAAAGCTTTTTTCGAGTTATAATAAGGGTACAGAGTAAATAAAATTATACTTGGCCACAAAACCAAGTGACCTTCAAAAATTTTTTGAGCTCTTGATTAGCCAGAGAAAACCACGTTCAATTCAAGAAAAAATGAATTTCGAGAAGTGAATTCAAGTAATCGGGCAGTATATGATATTTATTGACATGAAAACTTGGGATTTTGTCGATCTTATCGAGTTCTGATTACACTATTAATCTGAATTAACAATAGTTGTTAATTGACCGAATTGGATATATGACTAACACCCTTTTGTCTTGGTTAAGAATGCATTGACACGCCACATTCAAGGGGATGTACCATAGTGTATGTTATTCGCTGATTGCATAGTTTTAATCGATGAGACGCGAGGTGATGTTAACGAGAGGTGGGAGGTTTGGAGATAGACCCTTGAGTTTAAGGGTTTCAAGCTGAGCAGGACTAAGACGGAATACCTGGAGTGCAAGTTCGGCCCGGAGCCGAGGGAAGCGGACAGGGAAGTGAGACTTGAATCACAGGTCATCCCCGAGCGAGGCAGTTTCAAGTATCTTGGGTCGGTTATCCAAGGGATGGGGAGACTGACGAGGATGTTACACACCATATAGGGGTGGGGTGGATGAAATGGAGACTAGCATCTAAAGTACTGTGTGACAGGAAAGTGCCTCTGTCACTTAAAGGTAAGTTTTATAGAGTAGTGTTTAGACCAGCCATGTTGTATGGGGCTGAGTGTTGGCGAGTTAAGCATTCACATATCCAGAAGATAAAAGTAGCAGAAATGAGGATGTTGAGGTGGATTTGCGGGCACACTAGGATGGATAATATTAGGAATGAAGATATTCGGGAGAAGGTGGGCGTAGCTCCTATGGATGACAAGATGCGGGAAGTGAAGCTCAGATGGTTCGGGCACGTACGGAGGAGAAGCCCAGATGCCCCAGTAAGGAGGTGTGAATGGTTGGTTTTGACGAGTACGAGAAGAGGTAGAGGGCGGCCTAAGAAGTAACGGGGAGAGGTAATCAGACAGGACATGGCGTGGCTTCAGATTTCCGAGGACATGGCCCTTGATAGGAAGGTGTGAAGGTCGAGCATTAGGGTTATAGGTTAGGAGGTATTTGAGCATTGTTCTACTTTGTACAGGTGTGAGGCTAGTCTGATAGGGTTTTGTCTTAGATTGCTAGTGGTTCATGTTGTGATCGCACTGTTCTACAGTCTTTCTTTGTGCCGGACCTTAGCTACTGATTATTGGTAGTGATTTGCATCTATTCTCTGGTTCTTATATTGCTGGCATTATTTCTATTATTTTCTGCTGATAGTAATGATATATTGTCTCTCTTTTCATCTTCTTGAGTCGAGGGTCTACCGAAAATAGCCTCTCTACTCCCTCGTGGTAAGGGTAAGGTCTGCTTACACACTACCCTCCCTAGATCCCACTTGTGAAATTTTACTGGATTGTTATTATTGTTGTTGTATATATGACTAACATGTTACCACAGTACTACTCGTCTATATATCAATGCCCATATTCATTTGGAATTGAATCTATCAAGAACAGATAAAACGTGACATTTAACTAAGAGTGACCGTTAGGTAAATTCATATCCTAACAACTAAATACTTTCTTGAGACATGAGTTCAAAAATATTCTCTTTTTAATTCTTCTCTAATCTAAGTACGGCTTTCCCAAACATAACATTGTTGGCATCCAATTTTGTCCTATTTTTCCTCAAATTAATTTCTTTATGCTCCTTCGTCATTAATTACATATGTTATTTTATTTCTCAATAATTTTATTTAAATTAATACTATATTAATATTTTAATAATTTAATGTAAACTCTTATTATTAATTGAATACCTATTATATATATATATATATATATATATATATATATATATATATATATATATATATATATATTCAAGTGGTTAATTTTAGTCCAAATTATAAGACAAAGAAGCCCAAAAGAAATTAAACAGAAGAGAAAAATACGGGGCATTTGCATCTATACCCGTGTTTTGGGTTACGTTTTAACTTGTGCCCGCTTTGCAAAAAAATTACAAGCGTACTCACTTTTTCGCATAACTTCAGCATACGAGGCTGAAGTAGCAAAGGTAATCACGCAAAACTTCAGCATTCTAGTAGACGGGCCTGAAATAGCAAAGGCAATACTCTGAAGTTTTTTTTGTCCTGGATAAGCTTTTTCAAAAATTTCAGCAGAAGATGCTGAAGTTATTTAGTTCATTTGTAAAAATTTCAGTACTAAACAAGCTAAAGTTTTTTTTTTTTGGTCCTGGATTCATTAGTTTTGTCATAAAGCTTTTTCAAAAACTTCAGCAGAAGATGCTGATGTTATTTAATTCATTTGTAAAAACTTCAGCACTAAATAAGCTGAAGTTTTTGGTCCTGGATAAGCTTTTTCAAAAACTTCAGCATAAGATGCTGAAGTTATTTAGTCCATTTGTAAAAAAACTTCAACACTAAATAAGCTGAAGTTTTTTTGTCTTGGATAAGCCTTTTCAAAAACTTCAGCAGAAGATGCTGAAGTTATTTCATTCATTTGTAAAAACTTCAGCATTATATAAGCTGAAGTTTTTGAAAAAGCTAATATAGTTTTTTGACCCATACAATCACTATATTGGATCTTTCTTTTTCTTCTTCTTTCTAAACGTTTTTATGGAGCAGATCAGTAATTACATTAGAAAAAGGTGTCTTCAGTGGAAATAAATCAAATAATCATAAAGTTTAAGTGATATAAAGTGAAACTATTACTTTAACCCCACAGATCAATTCATTTGATTCTAAGAAAAAAAGATTACATCAAAAATGCGGAAAAAAAATCATGCAGCTTATGTTAGTTGATTCATTGTTATTGATAAGTCGTAATCAATTTATTGGGACTTAAATTTAGTTGTCCCAACTCCCAATCAAGACCAGATGATAACCTGTGTTATCGTACTAAAATATCTTAAGAAAACGAAGGAGGAGAAGGAGGAGAAGGAGGAGGAGAAATGGGGCTGAAGTTGTTTAAAAAATGGGTACAAGTTAAAACTTTAAAAAAAAAAAATAGGTATAGGTTAAATGGGGGCGACCAAATAGGACGCCACGTGCAATTTTTACGAAAAATACCAACAATTTCAGGTAGAAATTGCACGGGGCGTCCTATTTGGTCGCCCCCATTTAACCTATACCCATTTTTTTAAAACTTTTAACTTGTACCCACTTTTAAAAAAACTTCAGCTCCCTTTCTCCGCTGCGTTGCTTACCTCTTCCTTTGTCCTTGCTGCTACTTTCTCCACTGCGTTGCTTACTTTCTCCTTCACAGAATGCATCTTCTTCTTTCTTCTTTGCCTTGCGTAGAATACTACAGTTGTTGATAATGTAGTAAATTGAAGGTTCTGTAGTTTGTGGGAAAATAATTAGTAGCAATTAAATAGAACTATAGCTGAAGTTATGTGAAAAGAGTGTTATTTGGGTAGTAAACATACAATGAACTAAATAACTTCAGCTCTATAGCTGAAGTTTTCCGGTTACAAAGACAAAATCTTCAGCTCTAGAGCTGAAGTTTTCCGGTTACAAAAGAAAAACTTCAACTCTAGAGCTGAAGTTTTTATTTTATAACCGGCAAACTTCAGCTCTAGAGCTGAAGTTTCCCGGTTACTAAACAAAAACTTCAGCTCTAGAGCTG